GCACACACACACACATCCTGCCTTTTATTGATAGAGATGTTTCAGAATTACTATTGTTTGGTGTATGTTTGGTTCTGTTCGTAGTCATAATAGTTTGGGATATGGTTGTAATTTCTGTAAGGATAAATTGTTCTGGATTGTAGACGTTAAGGAGTTAGTAGGTAGTATTATATATCTGTTTTTGTCTAGTTTACTACCATTGTTATTGTTGTTGTCAATAATGCCATTATATTTTCTGCTTATTTGTCAATAATGTCGTTATCTTTTTTTTTATTTGTCAATAATGTCATTATCTTTTTTTTTATTTGTCAATAATGTCGTTATCTTTTTTGCTTATTTTGTATGTCTTTCTCTCGGGATTGTGGATGAAATAATGAGGACTTCAGAGGTTTCGAAAGTGTTTTCCATTTTATATTTCTTCTTCAGGTAAGAATTTTGTGGGCTGCAGATTCTTAGTGCTCTTAAATAGAATCCTATAATTATTCCAGATATTATCCTGTTATCCAAGAGACATATGATCAGAGGACGAAGACTTGGGTTGGGTTGTTGGCAAAGATAAAACACTGAATATCGACCGGTATCAAATTCTGGGAGGCTCCTACAGATCAGTAACAGTAGCAGAGAGAAAGAAGATGGCGGTCATCAATGTCAATTCCAAGAACGAGGAATGTCTCTAGGGGAAGTGGCTTGAAATTTGCCCTTTTTCCAGTTACCAAAGTACATCGGAAACCTCCTAAGTACCACTCATGTGTTGTTAAAAAGTACATATACCCAGCGTTAGTTCAGGCCTACGTTAATTTAACCCGATCTTATTTTAGTTCAGCCTTAGTTTAATTCGGCATTATGTTAAACCTACGTTATTTTACCCTGAGGTTAGTTGAACCAAGCGTTAGTATAATCCTACGTTAATTTAAGCATGCGTTAGTTTAACTGTACGTTAGTCTAACACAGCGTAAAGTTAACACTATGTTAGTTTAACCCTATGTTAGTTTAAACCTACGTTAGTTCAAACCACCTTTAGTTTAATTCTATATTAGTTTAAGCCTAGGTTCGTTTACACCTTGTTAGTTTAACCAACGTTAGTTTAGCCCTACGTTATTTAAGAATACATTAGTTTAACCCAGTGTTGGTTTAAACCTGCGTTAATTTAAGCATACTTTAATCAAACTCTACATTAGACTGACACAGCGTAATGTTAACACTTATTAGTTTAAACATACATTAGTTAAACCCTGTGTTAGTTTAACCCTACTTTAGTTTAATCCAGCTTATTGCGTTATTGATTAAATTATCTAATAATAGAGGGACACTTGAACATTTCACGTTTTTCCTATTTGAATTTTCTGATGAATCGTATTTTTTACGTTAATGATTAAATAAGCTCATGGCGAGTTCTATGACAATAAAATATCTGTAGAAGTTTTCTCATCGCATCGTTACATATTTGAGGTAAGAACTTTAATAAAAACGTTGCAATAACGATCATAAATATGTATGCTGGTCGTTATTTTAAGAAGTGGATACAAATGAAATGATTTAAAATTGACAACTTTTTCCATTTCACTGAAACAGCCGTTAAACACTTGTACCTTCCCTTCTATCTTTCTTTGTTTCTTTGATTCATTTTCTCACTGAAACCAAGTAGCGTATGACTTTTGTTTTTCTCCGCAATCAAAACGGAATAGGCCATTGACCCTTTTGACCCATATAATTACCGTACTGTAAGTCTTCTACTACTCTTCGGCAAAGTCTTCGAGGCTTTAATCAACGCCGAAGTAGTTAAGCACCTTACACACCATAACCTGCTCTAAGGCAAGCAAAATGGTTTCTGTTTTGCCCGGCCCACCGGTGACGTGCTCACAACCATAACTGAATTTAGATACCAAGCACTTGGCAATAACGGAGAAGCTCGAGCCGTAGCTTTGCATATCTCTAAAGCGTTTGTTAGGGTCTGACACGCTGGCCTTCTTCGTAAGCTTCAGAAATACGGCATTATAGACCGATTATTTGACTTAATAAAATGATTCCGGTCAAACCGTGAAATAAAGGTCGTCCTAAACGGGTTTTCCCCCAGTTCCTTTCCCACGAACGCTGGTGTTCCCCAAGGATCTATCATGGATCCTACACTGTTTCTGATCTTCATCAACGATCTTCCTGATGTCATCAACTCCCAAGTTGACATCTACGCTGACAACACTACTATTTAATCCTACCTCAATAGTAAATCCGTCATCGTTAACAAAATTAACCTGGCCGTAGGTCTCGAGAAGGACTTCCAATCTGTGGTTGACGGGGGCAGGAAATGTTTTGTAAACTTTAATGCCTCTAAAACGAAACTGCTCTCATTTACCCACCATAGAGAACCCTCCCTGCCTCCTATTAGGATGGCTGATGCCCAACTCCACGAGAGCGCCTCTCTGCGCCTGCTTGGTCTCACGCTGTCTACTGACGAAGTGAAACAACTACATTGAATCTATAGCTTCATCTACCGCAAGGAAATTTGGTTACTGTGTCGTGCCAGGTTTTTCTCGCCTGAGTCCTTCCTTCAAATCTACAATTGAACCATTCGTCTTGTCATGGAATACAGCTGCCATATCTGGTCTGGTGCTCCCGCTGTTCATCTCGAGGTTCTCGTCAACATCCAGAGACGGATATGCAACGTGCTTGGTCCTGATCTGGCATCCCGTCCGCAGACGTGCTGTGGCTTCCCTCTGTCTCTTCTACAAGTATTTTCATGGCAACTACTCCGACAAGATACTTTCACTGGTTCCCAAACTGCATAAATTGAAGCGTGTTACTAGGTCGGCATCTCAGTCCTACCCTTTCACAGTCGAAACGACTAAATGTAGCCATCTCTTCTACTCCAACAGCTTCTTATCTCGCACCTCCAGTCAGTGGAACTCTCTCCCTGTTACTTGCTTCCCTGATAGCTATAATCTTCAGATATTCAAATGTAATGTCAATCGACATCTTCTGATGCCTTGACCTTGATCCCTGTCCTTCTCTTTATCCTTTTCCCAAACACTCCTCTTTACTCTTGTTCTCAATCCTCTGTAACCCCTTGAATGCTAGTGGCACTCCCGCCTTGCTTGAGGTGATTTGCTTAAAAAAACAAACCAACCTATGAAGCACGGGAAGATGTTAAACACATCTATCTTTCTTTCTTTCTTTTTTTCTAGCCAAATACTTGTCTCACGAACATTTTTCTTAATAGTGATTTATAAAAAAATTCAGCTTACTCGATTTCTGTCGCTCGATACTGTGTGTGTTTGAAAAATGCGGATTTTATGGCGGTCACCATCGCATCTCGGCCTTTTGGTAGAAAGTGTAGTGTCAGCCGTCGGGTGGATAAATTAGGTTTCATCTCTCAGCTGTGCGTACAAAGCCCGACTCAGTTGTGTCTCTGCCTCCGGACAGAGCACAAGTGAAAATATTATTGAGAGGTGCCCGGTTACGGGAAACAGCTGTCCGCGGCAGTACCTCCCTCATTGCACTAAAGAATATGGGTCGGTAGTAACAACAATACGGTTGTAGGATCTGTGCTATTTTGGGACCTCACCCGGATGCACGCGCTTGGGCACCTCACATTAAACTGACCTCGTATCACATCCTCCCAGCGTGTAGGGGCAAGAAAATACAATCGCTTCTCGGCATTTTGCCTGAGATCAAAGTGTATTAATTTAATCTGACACCCCCTATCTCTCTCTTTCTTTCTTTCTCCGCTTCTAGCTTTCTTTCTTCCGTTTTCTCACTGAATCAGAGTAGTGTCTTTTTCTCACTTTCCAAAAAATCAAAGCAGAATAGTCTATTATTTATGAAGTTTGGGCAGGGCGTAACGGTCGTGCGGACTAACGAAGGTGGCGAAAAGCAAAATTATAATATGATGTTTAATTATCTAATCGTGGGAGAACCGTGGAAGATATATCCGCGGTTTATTATGGAATTAAGCGTAAGCGGCTCTTTGATGCCTGTTTTCTCGTGAAAGGCTGTAGAGTTAGCTCGAAGATCGTAAGAAGGTCGAAACTGAAGGGCTAACGAGAGAGATTAGTAAGCCTAGTCTGTTATTACTGCGAAGGAATTGCATCTGAGTGGATTAGCGTATATTTCGAGGAACAGACGGGTGTGGAGAGGGATGAGTTGGAAAGGGGTTCCAAATGCAATTTGGGAATGTTACAAGCTCAGCTGAGGCTGCTGGAGGTTTAATAGGAATTAGACAGGGTGAGAACGAAACCCTGACAGAATTAGCTAGAGGGATGCTGATATTCGTCCAAGGTTGCGTGTAAGAACGCCAAACAAATGGAAGATTAATAGAATTCTTTATGAACGCATTAAGGAATAGTTTTGTGCTTGAAGGTGCAGTGAGTGGCGAGCCAACGTCGCTGTTTAATACATTTTCCAAAGCCATTGATTGATTGATTCGTTTCTTACGGCTTATCAACACTTTGCACATTATTTAAAGACAGAAAATATTTTTAGTTTGTATGGAATCTCCTTTTTTTTTTAGATAATAATGGTTTTGGGATAAAAGTATTACTAATTAACCCATAGATGGGGGTGGAATCCGAATTTGATAAACAAACACGAAATTATGTGCATATAAAGTGGGGGACCAATTTTATATTACAATCAATATATAAAATTATCCATCACTTTGTGGCTAAAGTACTTGCTATACATTTATATACCAGAGATTGTAAATAATTCTAAAAGACATGCATATCTAGATAATCAGTATTTGATTTATTGATTCAATTTCAAGTCTTTGCTGATGATTTAAAGCCAGAAAATATTTTTAGATGGTAAGGATTTTTTTTAGGTAATAATTATTCAGTGATACAAGTCTTACTAATTAACCCATAGCTGGGGGGAAGGTAGATTCATGCCTTTCCCAAATGTATTTGCGTGTAAGTGAATATAACGAATCCAACTGGAATTGGAACTCGGCCCTCCAATTAACAATTCCGTACCATTATCCATTATACCACCCGCACAATCTTATTGCACCTGGTATTCCCAAGTGGTTACCCATCTAGGCACTGACCAGGCTCGACATTGCTTAACTTCGGTAATTGTACGGGAACTGGTGTTTCAACGTTCCCAAAGCGCGAGAATGCGAAAAATCATACGAAAGATGTCGGAACGGAGTTGCATGTTTTATAAGGTAAAGAATGCAGGAATTATACCATAAATTTTGGAAACAGGGGCCACATTAGAGCGATTTTTTCTGGGAAAGAAGAGGACTGGGAAAAAGGAAGTTTACCATTCGCCCATGCTCGTAATATTGCTGCCACATATGGCCCAGTGCTCCTTCTGTACATTTGCAGATTCTTGATAAAATCCAAGGAAAAATATTATTGGGCCTGACCTGGCGTCTCGGCTTTAGTCACTTTCCCACCGCCTTAATGTTGCTTCCCTGGGTCTTTTCTATAAATACATTCGCGGTAATTGTTCTTTGTTATGGTACCTAAACTTTATGAATTTAAGCGCAGTACTAGATTGGCGGTGAGGTCTCATCAATTTGCAGTTGAATTGGTTAGATGGAACCGTAAATTCTATGCTAACAGTTTCTTTTCTCACTTGTGGAACTATGTTCCCACTCCATGCTTTCTAGTTAACTTTGTTCTTCAAAAATTTAAATGCAATGTTAATCATTATCTATAAAATGAATACCCGCTCGGCCCGGTGGCTAGGACCAAAGTGTAGTATCTGCGCTTTGTGAGCTGCCGGGTCGGGTGTGTGTCGAATTCTCTGCTTGCAGAGAGGAACCCGGACGAAGCTCCGCCGAAGGGTAGGGTTTCGTTGGGGGAGGTTGACGGAACTGACCCGCCTCGGCGGGTTTGGATGGTTATTTATTTTTGGCTGGGCCTACGGGCTCAGAGATACCCACATTAAAAAGGCCTTGTGTCACATTCGATCCCCGTGGGTGGATTGATAAATACCATCATTATCTACTGTCTTACCAATTCCCCTTCTATGGCTCTCGCTCTTTCATAATACTTCTGCTTTCTAATTCTTTCACACCTAGCGTCTTAGTGGCTTTGCCGCCTTGCTCGGTTGGGGGATCCGATGAAAATAAATACAATGTTGTCTATTTGGGATGCATTCTATAAACCAATAGATATGGATTAACGCGTTGGGAATGTAAAAGAAACGGGTTCGAAACGGGTATCGAAAGAAGGATTGACCTCCACCCGAACGATAGAATTAACATCGACCAACATTTTAAAAGGGTGGTATTATTTTTTTTTTTTTTACATGTATTGGGAGCTCCAAAATTCCGGAGGGTGCAAGGAATGATATGTCATTTCGAACGAAATGTTGGCATTGTGGGTAGTCCACCACCACACCACCAAAAAAAATTATAATTGAAATTGCGCACGCATTACTTTCAGGTGTTGTGACTTCGACCATTCCAAAAGAAATTGTGGCTCAGTGGAAGGAGAAGAAAGAAGCAGAAAAAGAAGAAAACTGAAGTGAGGTGAAGGAATTTGGAGGAGACAAGATTTATCGGGGGTAGGGAGAAGTGTGAAAGATAAAGGAAGAGAGAGGGAAAAGGAAGGAAGGAAGGAAGGAAGGAAGGAAGGAAGGAAGGAAGGAAGGAAGGAAGCGAGAGAGAAAGCAGGGAGGAAGAAAGAGAGAAAGGAAGAAGTAAGGAAAAAAGGGAGAGAGAAGGAAGGAAGCGAGAGAGAAAGCAGGGAGGAAGAAAGAGAGAAAGGAAGAAGGAAGGGAAAAGGAGAGAGAAGGAAGGAAGGAAGGAAGGAAGGAAGGAAGGAAGGAAGGAAGGAAGCGAGAGAGAAAGCAGGGAGGAAGAAAGAGAGAAAGGAAGAAGGAAGGAAAAAAGGGAGAGAGAAGGAAGGAAGGAAGGAAGGAAGGAAGGAAGGAAGGAAGGAAGGAAGGAAGGAAGCGAGAGAGAAAGCAGGGAGAAAGAAAGTGAGAAAGGAAGGAGGAAGGAAGGGCGAAAGATGAAAGGAAGGAAGAAAGAAGGAAGGAATGAAGGAAGCGAGAGAGAAAGACGGGAGGAAGAAAGAGAGATAGGAAGGATGGGAGAGAGATTAAAGGAAGGAAGGAAGGAAGGAAGGAAGGAAGGAAGGAAGGAAGGAAGGAAAAGAGAAGACAGGAAAGAAGGTACGAACGAATGAACGAACGAAGAGAGAAAGCAGTGAGCAAGAAAGAGAGAAGGAAAAAGGAAGGAAGGAAAAGAAGGAAGGAAGGAAGGAAACTGAAAGAAGTAATTAACATAGACAAGGATGGAATTATGTTTGCCGTTGGCAGAAGTGTGTCAGACTAGGCCAAGGGGAATGAAAAGGAAAGAAGAGTTGATGTATAAACACTTCATTCAAGTACCAAGTGTCATGTACCTTGAAGATGACGAGGTTCACCGTCGAAGATTCGTTCATACCAAAACGACAATGAAATCTGAAATGAAATAAATAAATAAATAAGGGATTGTAGTACAAACAATTAAGGCTTTCAGATTTAAAGCTCACTAACAAAGATGCTACGGAAGTAAAGTCAGAACTAATGATAGCCTTGATTGATAAAATAGGAATGGCGGAAGCCAGAAAGATGTTGTATGTGAATCCATGGTAGGAGCGATCTTTCACATTAGACGGTGATTGGCTATAAAATAAAGGTCATAGTAATATTAGCCGTTTCCTAATAAGGAAACAGCCAGTATTCATTGTCCGAGCGGATAGTGCTACCTTCGATTGAAGTTTATGACGTTTTTGTCTGAGATCGTTTTTTAGACAAATATTTTTTCGAGACCAGTAACTCTTATCGCTCTTTCCAGTATTGTAGGGGAGGGCAATCTGTCTAATGTTTTGCTTGAAACAGTGTGGAACGCTGACATATTGATTATGCCATTATTTTCTCGTCGTGTTACATGTGCTATCCATTTTTGTTGTTGCCCTTGTTTAAAGTCCTCAAGTGATGATCTTATTTGGTACAGTTCTTAGTGATTTTGTAATTTTAGTCCACCAGGTTCGAAAAAGAGTGGAGGGTGGTAATGATGAAGCTCATACAGAGTTTGTACGTGACTCCGAATTTGGAGCGACCCTCTGCATCTATTGTCTTCAATATACCCTGTGAGTGTCAGATTCTCCAGGCCCTTTTTCTTCATTATGTGTCCCAAAAGTATCTTTCTGAAACTAAGTATAATACCCTTTTTGTATCCATTTTCCTTATACCTTTCTCTTTGCTCACATATCCTGTCCATGGTATTCTCAGCATCTTTCTGTAGAACCACATCTCCATTGCTTCAAGTCTCCTCTTCACCTGTGAGACAATTACCCGTGAAGTCTCTAACGTATGTGAGAGTTGATATTACAAAGCAGCTTATCACTATTTTCTATGTTTCTAATGAAATTTTCCTGTTTCTTAATACTTTGCTTATTTTTTGAAGGCATCGTTCTCTATCTCAATGCGCTTTCTGGTTTCCGTGTTACATTTTCCGTAGTCTATAACACTGACCGGATAATGACATTTCAGTACTTTCTTAATTCCGACGTCCCCAATTTGTAGCTCGCCTCTTGGATTGTCCATTTTGCTAACGACTATTGATTTTGACTCTAACTGCAAATCTCCTTTTTTGCTCCCATTTACATTAAAACTTCGTCGTTGCTCACATGTTTCATCCCAGGTCTCCTTTTCATCTGCAATAAATTTTCCAGCAATAACTGCTCATGTAGAAGGAAGAGAGAAAGCAGTGAGAAAGAAAGAGAGAAGATTTCGTTGGTACCAAATCGACAATGTCAATAATGAAATCTGAAATAAAATAAATAAATAAGGGATTGTAGTACAAAAAATTAAGGCTTTCAGATTTAAAGCTCACTAACAAAGATGGTACGGAAGTAAATTCAGCACTAATGATAGCCTTGACTGATAAAATAAGAACGACGGAAGCCATATTATACTGCATTTCAGTACTCTTTTCCTTGTTTCTAACGAAATTAATCTGTGATCTAATATTTAGCTATTAGGGGTCATCTTTTGCTATTCCAATAGGCCTAAGGGTTTCTCTGTCATCTTTCTGACGTCTGTTGTAACATTTCCCAGGGGAGTTAAATGGTTTTATCCCTTCCGATCTGACACTAACGTCCCAGTGGGAATACCTCGAAAAGTAAACTGATTACGTTCCATCACCACCGATCAAACGCCGAATTACCGCCGATGAACGGGGGTCCTCTCGAGGTGGTACCGTGCCTTGAGGGGATATTGGGCCTCAAACTCATACCCGACCTCAAGAGGAACTGTTATATACGGTCCATCGTTAAAAATGCAGGTAAATATGATCGGCTTTCTTTACCACCCCAGCAAGTACCTGAAACCTCATGCTATCTTCAAACATTATAATAGCCAGACTAGCTCAAAAATGGAGTACGGTTGCCATATTTAGGAGGGAGCTGCCCATGCCTCACTTTCCAGTCTTGATATAGTCCATGTCCGAGAAGAATTATTTTCCACACTCCAAGCTCTCTCTCTCTCTCTCTCTCTCTCTCTCTCTCTCTCACACACACACACACACACACACATACAGGCGGGATGTGGCGAGACTCTTACTGCTTTATCGCTACTACAATAGAAAGTGCTCGAACAAACTGCATCCCCTGGTTCCATGAGATCTAACCTTCGCTGCTAGAAATCACTATTCCTCTTACATAGTAGCAAATCATCCACAGTCCTTCCGTATTCCCTCGGCAAGAAATAAGAGCCATTCAAATAGCTCCTTCCCGTGAACCACATTGGAACAGACACCCAAGACAGTCTCTCTCGGGAGTCTGTTCCACAGACAGAAAATTATGGCGATATTCGTAAAAAAAAAAAACTGCCGTTCGTGCAGTCAAACTTATAAATAACTTTAATAGCAATCAGGCGCGTTCTATGAAGTCATGGAATCGTTGACGCAAAATAATGCACACCATTTCCAAAGAAATCTCTTTAAATCTGGCAATGAAGCTTAAGAATTTAATGATGTCATTAAATCTAAAACGACGCAAAATTAAACTTCAAATATTAATTCTGTCAGACTGCTTTAGATTCAGACGCTTATCTCATGGGCTCGGATTGCTGTATAAGGAGGGCTGATATTAGATTTTGCAGCACCCTTTTCTTTGTTTCTAAAGAAATTCTAAGTCTCTTAATACCGAGATATAAATGTCAAATATGCATCAACGTTCCTCAGTTCTTTAGCAATTTTTTTTTTTTTACTTTCCTATGGTGCCTTCATTTTCCGTTGCAAATAATCAATAGCGATAATCAGCAGAGAGGCCGAAAAATACATGCAGAAAATTATTGATCAGCTGCTTTAGATTAAGTTTTGTTTGAATTTTATTATTTTCTTAGTTTGATTTTGACAGTGAATCAGCTTCCTTATTTTTTTTTTAACCGGAAATTTCCTTTTATTATTGACTGGGCATCAAAATGAGGACATTTTTCCTAATACCTGAATATTGGAGAATAAACTGGCTTGACAAATATACACCTAAAGATAAAAAATAAATATTGGCGTTTCGTTTCGTTTTGTTTCTTTTCTGCCTTGACTATTTCGTTTACTTTTTCCTGAACTGTTATTTTTAAAGATTCCCTTTGCTATCTCCTGTTTACCGCCAAGCCGTCTCTCATCCGGGTTCTAGCGCAGCTATTCTTCAATTGTTGTCATCAGTAAATTCGATATTTTCACTGATTTTGTTTAAATGTAGAAGATGGAAGATTATTATAGAAAACGTACAAAGAAAGAAAAAATATATTCCAATTGTGGGTATGTTTCTTCCGGTTTTTTTTTAATGTAAATTTGAGAAATTTACTATTTTCCGTTTCCAGTTCTTCATTTATTTTTAAAAAAATAAAAAGGAAGGTTTGAAAGCAAACGGTCGAAAATAAAAGATGGAATGTAATGTAAATAAGGTAAAATGGCTGAGCAAAAACGTTTTGTATAAAAACAATATGGAGCGATGAAAGGAGAATGGAAAATGAAGTAAAATGAAAAAAAATAATGACAAAGCCGCGGACTTGATCGGAGAATTATTCGGGGACTGCAGAACAAAATGGCGGAAAGGTGGTAAAGGCTTATTTTCACATTGATCAGCGTTTGAAAAGAAAATTGAACCTTGATGAAAGAAAGAAAAAACAGGAAGTAAATAAAAAAAAATCACAGATGCTGACAAGAATAGTCATTTTCTTTACTTCCTGTTTTTTTTTGTTACCTTTTTTATTTATTTATTTTTATTTATTTTGAAGTCAATCTAAAAGAAATTTGACGATGCTTAGTCGTAATTCGTCCCTTTTTATAAACTCACTCATGGGACATACGTGAGAAGTTGTAACAAGTACAAAGCTCAATAGAAGGAATTAGCGAAAAACTCTTGCCAAAATTGCAAATCGAAAATTACACTAATGGGATTGGGTCAGTGGTAAAGACGTGTACCGTTTGTTAAGAGGCCTTCTTTATGTGCCGTGTCCCTTCAGGATGTAAAAGATCATAGCTCTCCACAATTTCCTATTTTTTGTAGCTCTAAATTTTGTCTATTTGTTGTTTGCTCCAGACCCTGTTCCGCCATCCATTTACTCAAGCTAAGTAGGTCACGCGTTGTTTTTCTTTGTCTCTCTTGCCTTCAATATGGCCTGTGAGTATTATTTTTCCAAGCCCTTTTTCCTCGTTATATACCATAGATATTTCAACTGTCTCTTTCTAATTTGACTTATAGGTCTACTTGTTTCCGTTTTCTCTAAAACTTCATCGTTGGACATGTCCTGGCTACAGTATTCTCAGCATCCTTCTGTAGAACCGCATTTTTGTTGCCTCCAGTTTCTTCTTCAGCTGTGATGAGATTGTCCAGCATTTACTGCTATAAAACAGGACGGATATTACATAACAGTTAATTACTCTTTTCTCTGTTTCTAACGAGATTTTCATCTTTCTTCATACTTTGCTTTGGCATCTTTCGCTATCCTTTGGATTTCGGCGCCATTTTTCGTCCTCTTCTTAAAGCACTTTTCGTTCAGTTTTTTCTGCTTCATCTTTAAGCAGATTGTCTTGCATTCACAGGCATATAGGAGGACAAATATCACGTAACTGTTAAGTCGTCTTGTCCTTGTTTCTAACGAAATTTTCCTGTTTCTTAATACTCTGCTTAGCTTTTAGAATGCATCATTAGCTATGCCAATACGCCTTTGGATGTCGGGGTCGCCTTTTCGTCCTTTGTTAAAACACTTCCCATTCCATCTTCTTGCAATTCATGTTTAGTCCTTTCTTGTCATGTTTCGTCACTACCTTCTATAGGCGTTTATTTGTATAGTTTCCTTTCTGCGTCTGCTATTAACATAGTGCCATCTGCG